CTTCTAAGATGTGAACACTTCCTCTGCATAAGGACGAAAGAACTATTCTAAACTACTTTCTATATTAACGCTGGATATTTTTCACGGAAGCTAAAATCTGTTCCCAATTTCGGCGTAGCTATCCATCAAATTAAGTAGGAAAAGCGATCAAAATAAGATCATAATTGCTGATCCGTTTCTCGTGTAAGTTGCAAAGCTCCCAGCCATAAAAATGCGCCAACTAACCCATGATGTTAGAACATACGGCACCAATTTCTTTCTGCTTCTAACTTTAATGGGATGACATATAGCTTACTCTTCCAGAATGTAACTCGGTGCAAACCTGATTGGAGGAACGTTGACGCTGACTTGGGGCTTATAGGGAAGAGAGCTGTCGCGGAGGTGAAATTTTTGAAGTTTTATTGTAAAAAGCTATACGGGAGGAATGAGTGTATTCACCAGGGGATGTTCAGTTATAATATATATCGCTGTTTTCAGTTTAAACATTACTATCAAAATATTCTTAATATGTCGAAGCGAATGTTTCCAAGCACTCGGAAAAGGTATATGAAATGGAATGTGAATGTTGGAACAGTAACTTAGGTCGAGTATCAAAAGTAATGAGGAATTCAATGAAGAAGCAAGGCACTGTAACCAGCAAACCAATGGATGGTTGATTTGCACAATTAATTTTACACGACTTAGTATAACAGAAGTCCCAAATTATACATCATTTAAACCGTGTTAGTAGTAATATTCCTAATAAATAATAATTTGAAAAAATATAAAAACATATGTTTACATTTTGTTTTTGTTAAAGTACCAAACATTTGTACCGCCAACGTTTGCAGTTCTCACACAGTGCTATGGGTAATGAAAGTATTTTACGTCCATTCGGATGCCTTTCGAAATGCCGACCATTTAAATGACCATGAACGTGTCAAAGACAGATATGAGCCAACGGTAGCTGGTTAAAAGCTCATTTCTAAAGCTTTTTTCCTACATGCATGTGGAGACTAGTTGTTTTAACCCGTGTCACTTCCACAGTTTTGTCTCAACAATTAGCCATGTCTTATTTCAAAGTGACGCTGTATTTAAACCACACATGTCTGTATCTTAACGTATGTATACTTTACTTGTAGACGTATATAACATCCCATTGTCTTCTATCCGTCGTTAATATTTTAACCATTACGTTAATGTATTTTTTAATATCAATTTAATGTTATAATAATAAATAAAAATGTACGTATTATATCTAACTCTGAATTATAGCATGTATCATATTTGCATTCAAAATATTCAAAACATTTTCCCGTTTCATATACGAACAAATTTTTCAGCGTCCAAATTTCGATGTTTACTGTTACATACTAGCGTGCGGCAATATATGCCGAGATTATAAGTAACCTGAACTTAATAAATAATGAGAAAATATTCCAAAACGAACAGGAGCGTCCGAATCTTGATTTGTGTTGTAAGAACATTGAAGGACAGTCGTTTACATAGTAATTCACATTGTATTTAGAAGTTTGATATATACAAAAGTACGGCGGTTTCACCCTTTCAAAATTCCAGCCATTTGCATGCGTGTGTCTGGTGAAGCGATCACCGCTGTACGTAGATGCCACACACGTCTTAATGTAAATTACTGCAAGTGCGTGCTGCACGTGAAGCACGCGCGCTCGGCGAAAATTTGAACAGTTGGGCTGTGCCTCACGACTACAGTTTCTTGAAGCATTTAACCAAATTATATGTTCGATACTTTTTACTTGTATAAAAAAATATTTTGTGGTATTTATTGTTATGACAAATATGTATTCCCTTTAGTTAAAATAATATACGCGTGAGAATATAGTTATTATATATGATTATGATGTGGCAGCTGTGAGCCAGATAATAACTTTATCCTTCATGTGTACCCGGACCTCTGAGCTTATAGTAAAGAAAGAAATAAGAAATAAATGAAGGGAAGGAAGGCATCAGGTCATATTTATAATATGAATTTATGAAACCTCAATAATATATCAATATATGATAACGCACTTATAATTTCAGTGACCCGTTTAACTCCAGTCAGTACGTATATGTTTTACAACATAAGAGAGAGAGAGAGAAAAAAAAAGGAGTTAGAAGTAGAGAGAAAGATGGAGAGAGGGGGGGGGAGAGAAAGAGATCTAGAGAGAGCACAGCAAATAAATATTCTTATGTGTATGAAATGTACTATCCAGTTTAACATTATACATCAAGAAGTGTCGGCCTCGACAAGGCGCGCACGCATGCACACACACACACACACACACACACACACACACGCACACATTAATATATACTATTAGCAATCTGTAATTACATAATTGTTCTCGACCAATAATTCTTACGGTCTGGATTCTAATTTGGAAACAGGCGTTTCCGAAAGCAAAATAGATTTTGAAGTGTCCTCGTAAAAGGAGGAAGACCCAGACCATGGACAAATCTAACGTTTGTCAATGATCTTTGGTAATTCTACACTAGGACAATACAGCGGAGGATATGATCCACAATGACTTAAGCAGTATAGATAGGCCAATTGTTTCCTTGTATACGACGAAAGGAAAACGCATCTCATTTGAACTTTTAGATCGGAAGGTGGTGTGATATTCCGTCAGTGTGGATCCGCGCTACAATCCTTCTTTACTAGTCTGGGATCGTATTCAAAGAGCGTTTTTATTTATATTTTTTTATATGAATGATCAGTTTTTTCAATCACAAAAACCAAAAAGGAGACATTTGCAGATGCAATTATAATTTCCAGTCTAATCATGTCACACGCGCGCATATGTAGACCAAAAAACAAGGAAGTAAGAAGGGTTAAAAGTTTTCGAAACAGGACGGTTTCACAGCATCCCTGCCAAGATTTGGTCAAAGGGTATAAAGTCGTTATACCATCAGATGACAGGACGGATAAGACGGAACGCACAATGCATCCTGCTAAGTCAGGCGCTTTACGGACGGTGGTCTTTGCAAGCAATAAGTCACGATAAGTAGTCAAGAAGCCCATTGCTTCATCGCTATCATCGCCGGATCTGTGTATTATAAATTAATGAACAGATCCTTAGGGGCTATAAACCATGACAGGAATAATAATCAACCCCTGGCGTGGGGGACCGCCCAATTTAGATCTACCGACTCAGGAAGGGAGTGATGTGGGTAGGAAACCCTTCCCCAGTCTTCGGCTGCTGACGAGTATTCCTTGTGGACATTCATTAAGTACTGGCCGGGTTACGAAGGGGGGTATTATTGTGAATTTGGCTAATTGGATTGTTGATAGAGGAAAATACACATAGGGGTTATGGCTCCTCCGAAAACCTTACATATCATTCGTGGAATCCGTTTAATACGGATAATGGCGCGAACAGGTTTTGTGTCGTCTGCGTCCCGGGGAGCAGACGATAGTTCTAACAGCTTTGTATATAAACTTAGTCTCTGGGTGGCAGAAATGCAGAGAGGGGTTCGTTCCATACACAGACGATATGTTGAGAATATAATTGTAGGATAAGAACGATCAGTCCGTTTGAAGTTTCTTCATCAGATAGTTCCTTCATTTTTGGCCCAGAGAAGCGATAGTCATCCAGATACTGGGTCGTCTGCTATGTTTCAAGAGCTACCTTCTATTGCCTTCGCCGGAGAAACAAATTAAATTTCATTTCATAGCGTCGGAGAGCGTGGGTTTTCCCAAGGGTGTGAAAAGTAACCAAAGACATATGGAAATATTGTTTGCAGTTAATGAGATGAAGTCAGTATAAACAAGCTATGTAAGAACCTGCTCAAATTTTCTTGTCATGTTTTTTCTTTCTGTTTTCAATCTTATTTTTTACCTCCTTTAGCGGTATAAGATTCCTGGCAGTCAACTGTAAAACGTATTTGTGTGCTAACTGATTTATGTAATTCTCCTTTTAGTTTTTTTACAAATATTAAAAGATATTTGTATTAAGCTATGTGCATTTAAATGAAACTATATAACATTATTGATGTAGAAGTTATAAATATTAGTATTTAACGTCCCAAAGGCACAAGGACATTTTTGTTTCCGATGATTCGGCCATGTATTTCGGAAATAGTTAACTATTCGCGTGTTAAAAATTGTAGGGTACAATGATTTGGTGTAAAAAAATGTTGAAGAGGAAGACGTAACTAACGCGGTAATTGTATGAATCAGAATATTGTTATAAATCTGACGTATTGTTCGTTCGAAATGACGTGTTCATTAGGAAGTGTATAACGTTATGTGTAAAACGACAATTGTAACAAGAGTGCAAACATACCAGCTGAGCCTAACCTGTCGCTGTTCATATAATGACAAGCTCGCCTTTCCTAGCAAGACATTATATGGGAGTAATTGGTTGCAAACAATAATCCTAACATACATTTTTATACCAGGATGTTCAACAGAATATGTAAAAGACGGACTCCATATTGTCATGATCACATGAACAGGTTTCTTCTTTTGTAACAGATTATTGCCAATGTCTATTAACTTACACCGGATAGGAAATGCTTACTGAATTGTGTGGACAAAGTGGTTGCTCACCATAGACCCGGTACCCACAAGACTGGATATACGACCGGATAATCCGTTCGGGGAGACCCACGTGCTGGGAGACTGATCGCGTAACATCCGTTCTGCTGATCTTCTCATGTGAGCCCAACTGGACAGCGTTTGGTGATTTTATGCTAAACAAAGGTGCGTGAACACGAAGTTCATCTGGTGATATGTCTGTATCTACTTTCTTCCCACAGACGACATTCCTGACGTTGAGTGTATACTCGAGGAAGTACACACAGGCAACAAACAACACACAAGCAACAACCCAACTGCAGACATCTCTACCCTCTCTACCTAAGAACCTCTTCAACTCATCCACATGAATTGAATCATATCATATGAAATGAACACACACAAGGAGATGTGGATTTCTACTAGAAGCAGCTAAGTAGAATCTTAAGTATCTCTTAATCTCTCAAAGCCCTCTTTTACTTACGTTTTGTGTCGACGCTGTCATCGTCGATGCAAGGTGTTGGCGGGGTGTGGATGACAGTGTCGAAGTCTTTTGCTGTAGGGGGTGGCCCAGCACCCAGCGCAGTCCCGGGGGAGCCGCACGGCAGGGTGGTGTAAGTCGGCTGGATATGATCTAGAGTTGGAGAAGCCGGACTTCCATAGATACAAGAAGCGTAATTATTCAGCTGCAGTGGATCGCAAGATCTTTGCGTCTCGAAAGGAAAATTAGCAGGCGGCATTGGGAAATTAATGGCCTGATAGTCCAAGTGATTTTCTCCGACTCCGCTAAGCAGAGTCTTCACGGAAAAGTTAGAATAATTGGAGTACATTTTACAAAATCCAAGGAGTTGTTAGTCTTTTGGATGCACACACAGTCTGTGTGATGTTTGTAAGAGGCAACTGACGGCTCTGATATCGTGCAGGACGATCACTTATCGTGAGCGAATCTTGCAATGACAAACCCACGTACTCCTGGCGTCAGCCAATCAGCACGCTCCTTTCGGAGAACGGCGTGAGACCTCCTACAGTGTGTGTAAACAGCCAACAAGTCTCAAGGGCTTGCTAAGTTAGTGACCATCTCATGAATATGCATGAGCTCTATTTCTTGTCTCCGTTACACGCTGGCTATATGCCGACAGTTTGGCCAATTATTGTCGATTACGATGTTAATAATTTCTTCCTGGTATGCCCTGTCGGTATCTGCTCTGTTTTTAACATTTATGGCTATCCACAAATCGTTCACATCCCTGATGGGGAATATTTGAAGTATTCGTAATAATTTAAAACTTTGGCTGAATGGAAATTGAAAAACTTTCAACATAAATCTTTTGGTATTCTCTGAAATTCTCGTCGAGCTGTTAAAATATTGAACCTATCCCTGCATATGAAAATATTTCCTCGTATTATTTTAAGACAGTTAAATGTTTATATGATCAAGTTTGTTATCATCAATGATATAAGTATAGTTTGGAACTGCACATAAACTATTCAAATAGTGGAAAGCGAGTATTTTTCAGCAAATACTTCCTGTAATCGTAATAGTGATAAATGTATGGGGTGATATCAACATTAATATATTATCAGTGGAAACACAGACGAAGCCAACAATGACCTTTATGTGATTTCAAAGTGGCGCTACTTTGTCTAAGCTGACCAGGCAGGCTGTGTAATTACTCTGTCTAATGACTTTGATAAATCCGAGAGGCGCGAAGTCAGTTCCCGCAAAACCTCGCGGAGTCGGCCTCGAACACATTTCTTGATAAACCGAACAATTGAGCTCCACATACAGCCTTGTGTACCTTCAAATGCCCATTTACCTCCCACAGAGACGGATGGTGGTTTTTCTCAACATCCCTCCGTCTTTTCCCAGTCCCCCCTTCCGACGCCCAGTGTATCGTCTGCTCCGGGAACGTTTACCCATTTCATCTCCCCCTGGCCTCCTCTCATTTTCTTTCCCCTATTCCTCTCATTTCAGGCTGATTTCTTCGCTCACTCCATACAATTGCCGTTTATCAATTGCTTCAGCATAAATCAGGCAGGTCGTCTGTTTTTCTTTGACACATTTATCACCGCCAAAAGACTTTAAATTGGTTTCCGTTACGACTTCAGTGGTCGTGGGGAGTTTTCGCTGTAGTTGTTTGCGAGATGGCACTGTGAGGAATTCGCATCTGGGATTGAATACTTTCGATGTAAGATCTTCCAGCATTTTACCTTGTACGAACATTGTGTGCTTATAACATTTTGAACACCAAAAAACACACGTTACTTAGAAATCTATATTTGGTAACCTATTCAAATTATCTTCACATAACTGTAACTGCACAACAGTAGTGGTTTATGGAGTTCATACTGTTTTCAGTTTCGTTTAAATATATTATTGCCCTTCATGTGCATCAGAATATATCACAGCCGTTTGGGGGCAGATGGGGGCAAAATGGTTCATTATACAACCTAAACATATGTATAGTGGAACATGACTCAATACCTTCTGGATGTAGAGACAATATCCCGTTGGACCACCTCACCATGACGTCAATACGTTCTGGATGTAGAGACAATATCCCGTTGGACCACCTCACCATGACGTCAATACGTTCTGGATGTAGAGACAATATCCTGTTGGACCACCTCACCATGGCGTCAATTCGTTCTGGATGTAGAGACAATATCCCGTTGGACCACCTCACCATGACGTCAATACGTTCTGGATGTAGAGACAATATCCCGTTGGGCCACCTCACCATGGCGTCAATTCGTTCTGGATGTAGAGACAATATCCCGTTGGACCACCTCACCATGGCGTCAATACGTTCTGGATGTAGAGACAATATCCCGTTGGACCACCTCACCATGGCGTCAATACGTTCTGGATGTAGAGACAATATCCCGTTGGACCACCTCACCATGGCGTCAATACCTTCTGGATGTAGAGACAATATCCCGTTGGACCACCTCACCATGGCGTCAATACCTTCTGGATGTAGAGACAATATCCCGTTGGACCACTTCACCATGGCGTCAATACCTTCTGGATGTAGAGACAATATCCCGTTGGACCACCTCACCATGACGTCAATACCTTCTGGATGTAGAGACAATATCCCGTTGGACCACCTCACCATGGCGTCAATACGTTCTGGATGTAGAGACAATATCCCGTTGGACCACCTCACCATGGCGTCAATACCTTCTGGATGTAGAGACAATATCCCGTTGGACCACCTCACCATGGCGTCAATACCTTCTGGATGTAGAGACAATATCCCGTTGGACCACTTCACCATGGCGTCAATACCTTCTGGATGTAGAGACAATATCCCGTTGGACCACTTCACCATGACGTTAATACCTTCTGGATGTAGAGACAATATCCCGTTGGACCACCTCACCATGACGTTAATACCTTCTGGATGTAGAGACAATATCCCGTTGGACCACCTCACCATGACGTCAATACCTTCTGGATGTAGAGACAATATCCCGTTGGACCACCTCACCATGACGTCAATACCTTCTGGATGTAGAGACAATATCCCGTTGGACCACCTCACCATTACGTCAATACCTTCTGGATGTAGTGACAATATCCTGTTGGACTACCTCACCATTACGTCAATACCTTCTGGGTGTGGAAACTTTATCCCGTTGGACCGTTGGACCACCTCACCATGGCATCAATACCTTCTGGATGTAGAAACCTTATCCCGTTGGACCATTGGATCACCTCACCATGGCGTCAATAGGTTCGGAATGTAGAGACAATATCCCGTTGGACCACCTGTCCATGGCGTCAATACTTTCTGGATGTAGAGACAATATCCCGTTGGACATTTGGACCACCTCACCATGACGTTAATACTTCTTGATTTAGAGACAATATCCCGTTGGACCGTTGGACCACCTCACCATGACGTCAATACCTTCTGGATGTAGTGACCATAGCCCGTTGGACCACCTCACCATGGCGTCAATACGTTCAGGGCCATCCTGGTTCAATATCGGCGAAGCTGCAATCGGTCAAATTACACAGAAGTCCGAAATTGTATAGAGGTGAATTTGCGGGAAAATCAACATTTTCAGTGAAAATTAACTCAGTTAAACACTCACACCCTCAAAACCGCTAACATACTAACCTTCCATGAGTGTTTTTTTACTTACCAGTACTAAGTGCGAAAAATGCAGGTGATGAGTTTATCAAAATCTAGTTTTAAAATTGAATAAGAAATCTGATAAATAATACAACAATATGCACGTTGTCCTGTTATCGGTAACTGTCACCGTTAATGCAAGTTTTGTTGGTAAGTTGGTAGTTGGTTCAAGAAGCGATACCCGTTATTTCCTCTGTATTACATAGAAACCATGTTACTCAGTATAAACAATGTAGGGCAAGTGGGGCATTACTAACAGAATAAATCCAGCTTTACTCTTTCTTCTTTTTAAGAGAAATCGATCTCCATGTGGTGTTAATCCTTAAACTAGATTATTCTGTGTCCTCCAGATAATTTTTTCTTGACAACTTCACAGATAAACACTCGTTGTACTAGTTCGAACAACAGGAGCAATGGCACCAATCAATGGGGTCCGCTCCTGGTATTACGTCATTTTCAGCAATATTCTATCTACACTTAAGTATATGGCAGTGAAACTAGCACTTTGTCTTCACAAGAAGAATTGACTGCAGGACGAGGAGATACCTCGGTGTCACGTTATGGGTTTGTCACGTTATGCATATTAATAAAGTCATCATGGAGAATAGAAGTAGTTTCGATAATAAACTTAATATTTTACAGTTTACATTTGAGACTATTTCAAACTTCCACGGGATAACAAACTGGTTAGGGCTAGCAGACATCCGGGACTTTGAAGAAAGATGTTTATCGTGTGTTGCTGGTGTTGACACCTACTTAACGTACTTGATCGTAATGATAATTGGACATGGACATGTAATCAATTTCAAAATGATTATTTACAAAGTATGTACAATTCCCTATTTTCAACTTTATTCATCAACTGACATAATGCATCTTTTTGAGGATCTGAAATGGCAGAACATTAAAGGCAGCAACTGAGTTCCAGTCACATTAACCTGAGTATCACACCCTTTAAAATATTCATTAAGAAACGCTTTCTTAAATCTACCGCACATTAAGCATTTTATCACTCAAAAGGAAATCTCTAAAGTCATAATGCCCCAAACAAACACATCTTACCATCTATCGTGTAGGTAGAACGAGAGTATCGAAGTGCCACCTCGCGGTGTCTCCTCAAACTATCTACTCTCGAAGCCATACAGCAAGACGTTTCAAGCAAGAGTCAAAAGCTCAACTTGACGTTTGGAGTGCTGACATAAGATGATGACATCAATTCAAGTAACTGCACTTTGCTTCGGCAGATCCACCAAGTGAGCCGCAGCCGTGGGAAGAGATTGATTAGGCGAAGTTTAAGAGAGCGGATTAAATGGAGCAAATAAACTCCTGTGACTCCCATTTTATACGACTGACAGTATCTACTTTGAAGTATACACATTCTTTGAAAAAGTATTGGATGCTTTTGTGTCTTGCTGTTCAGTGGTGTAAATGTTGAATCACATGCAATGGATTCTTGAGCACTACACTAATATCATGAGTAGATACTGTTGGCAAAAAGGCACTGAGATGTCTTACAGCCATGTTTGTGTGATACATGCCTTGTAGGCACACGGCGTATTCTTTCATCATCATACTTACACATGATGTGAGAGAAGTATTACGAATAAGACACATTACGCCATGATATAACGGGACTTCTATTTAATTTAAAGCGGCTTTCGACCCATTCATCACTTTCAACATCGCATTTCATAAGCTTGTCCTTATAACAAATTCTTTAAGAGTCATCATAAGCTGTACTTGAAGGCTCCTGAAATCTCAACACTACAAAAGCCATTGAATAGCGAAACACAGCAAGGAGCAGC